TGCCTGTTACACGATGTTTTTAGCGAGTTGAACCTCAGCGTTTCATATTGTGCCTTTCTTTTTCGCGAAGAAGCAGAACTACATTGGTCTTAACTCCGCACGCTTATTTTTCAATCCTTAATTCGCTATATTCCAGCCCCTCAGATCGTCCAACTTTGCCGTCTTGTTATTTTCATTGTAATCGATATTTTTCAGCTTGCAATGCCGGGAATTGGAAATACAAAGTCTAAATAAGATGTTTATGATATCAGGTGGAAAAAATGATTCGGGTTTAAGCTAAAATTATTATTATGAGGAAAAGGGTATTTCCGGAGAAAATTTTCAAATGTTCTGCAAGTGCGATTTGAGGGAAAGTAATGTTCATTCTTTGTAGCGGACAACTCATATTTTAATGGAAAAAAAAATATAGTATGCCACGTGAAGAGCAGAAAATCGAAAAACTTTCAGCAGTCCATTGGAGCAATTAACTATCGCGCCTCCCATCTCTGTGTATTATCGTGTCACGGCACGCACTCTATTTCGATGTCTGAGAAACGATCTTACCTAATACGTTACGAGCGCCGTGTAGGCGCACGTGGTGAAGGTGAGAGCGATTTAGCGGGCGCGGTCTAAAACAGGCGAATAAAATTACCCGGCTCGCACGAAGATCAATGGGCCTTGGTACGTGAACTAGGTCAATGTGATAATAAAATAGTGAGACATACCGACGGCAGAAAATCAACCGCCTTTGCGAACTTGGCGATTCTTCACCGGCGAGATACCGAGCCGCGAATATTTTCCGCTCGATGCGTTTCGATTAATCTCAATTTGGTGGCCTCAAATGCCTTTTCAACGGCCCATCAATCGTCAGGGATCGCGAGATCGAGGTGCGACCCCACTAAAATTAGCCGCACCGACGCGTCTGTAGTTTTTCGTTCTCATGATTTCTAAGTTACTACCTCTCTGGATCTCCGTGACATGTTTTTACCGTGACATCTAAGTGTCTCGAAGTCTAAGTCTTGTCACGTTTGATTTCCACCGGTTCAATTATTTTCATCGCTTTTCGACGTGTTTATATTTACACATAAAATACAATAGTCTACGTCTACGCATACACATTGTAAACTATATATATCATTTATGTGTAGGCAATAAGTGATCTATGAATTGTTATGGCTGGTCTTTTTCTTACATTTCGTAAGTCTTATTTTTATATATTGTTTCAGTTCAAAGCTCGCAGATAAATCTGAATGATAACATTTGTATATTGACAGCACGTGTACATCCTTCATATGGCTGCACAAATATTTTAATATGCGTAAAGTGAATTCTAACAAATTGAATTGTATCAGGCTCTTGAGATATATAATCAAATGAAAACATAGAAACTGTAACAGCCGAATGTAGGTTATTGATACGAATAAATTAATATGGAAGAACAATACGTTTGACAGTGTTATCGCACACGAATCTGCAAGACTTTTGCACGTATTACAACGTACGCGGGGAATCCCCTTCCTTCCGCGTCAAACCGACGTTGCATCCCAATTATTAAATCAAATACCCAATTAATAATTGTGTTCGCGCGTTAATTGGATTTATTCGCACTGACAACCCACGCTCGGCTCTTATAAGCCTTCTATGTTGTCGTTGGATTATATTTAACTTGATATGATTAATTTAATATGACCTATTAAATATCGGCGAAATTATTTGGTTTAAACATAACGGTACATTTTCCGTATTTTACGATGCCGCGAAAAATCAATTGTGCCTATTGGAAGCACGACCTAAGGAAACATTGCCTCTTTTCCCGTTAAAACGGGAATTTGAATGATAAAATCTGTCAGTTACTCGCACGTATACATATCGACTTTTCAATGTTTTAATATAAAATATCTTCATAATTAACATCAAAATTAGATACGTGGACTACTTTATAGTTCGAACTAATTTAGACTAATAATTTATCCTTTCTTCTTGCACCGTGCTTTTTACATTTTACAATATTTTCCGCAGATTGCATTGTCTATACGTGAAAGAAGCCCGTGTAAACATCACGTGGATGATAATCATCCGCGTGAACGTGATCTCAAAATTTGCGGCGCAATCCTGAAATGTTCACACATCGGCCGAGTTTAGCGCTCGATTCCATGTAAATAAACGTTTCGTGACATTTCACGATGATTGAAGCGAATTTCATGCGATAATGCAGGCAGATAAATTTCTTCGATTAAAACCGGTCGGCATAAGACCAGGTAAAATCGGTGAGCGAGATTTTATCTCGATGCTACATACATTACATTAAGCACACGAAGCACTCGACGAAAGCAGCTGCTCGGCCGAAAAGACCGGCGTCTAATCGACCTCGCGGCTTCCCGCGAGTCACCGTGGCTACAAATTTGGCGAGACTTTCGCGCGTCAACCCGGCCGACCGGGTGCTTCTCGCACGTATCCGCACGTATACCGAACGCGAGCGCGTATAAAACGCGCTTTCTCCCCATCTAAGGACATTTGCTTGAAAAGCGCTCGCGCGTTCTTTTTCTCCCGCGGGCCCCCGTTTTGCACCGGAGAGTCGTCGCGCGGAATGAATTTTCTATTTATTAAACATACAACATTCCCGTTCAGCGCGATCAGAAGCGGCTACGAGCTGTGTGTGTCTCTCGGCTTCCGGTGAGAGCCGCTCGCCACTTGTCGCAGCTGCCGGCGTGCCGGCACGCACGTGCGAGAGCCCTTTATGGGCGTGAAAGTCGTCGATCACCGAGAGCGGAGTCCTGAGCGATCCTGGAGATCCGGTACGATCCTATCGATCAATGTTGTTTTTCTCCTCTCCTCGCCGCACCGAGCTTTTCAGCATAAACAAAGCCGCCTCTTTGCGCGGGATAATATTTTACTAGACAACTTGGAAGGTCGTCCTCTCGTCAGCGAGAGCGGATTTCGGCCGAGAGCGAAGCGCGAGAGTGAAAAATTCCGCTCGGAGTCCGCTTCGAGATAAACGACGAGCAAATTGTCGTCGCTCGCCGTTGTTTGCTCGCACCTCTGAGCTGCTTAAGACGCGAGAAGCTCACACGAATCGTTCTCTCCGTTAAGGAACCATCTGTTCCAATAAGAATCCGGAGGGGGGGGAAATTTATCTTTCGTATTAATCGATCGACACCGCGCGCTCCGAGAGATATCTTTCACAAACGAGGAAGAGACGCGCCCCGCCGTATTACGATTTAAGATTCTCCAGCCGGTCCAGCGCGATCTATTATTCGCGGCTCCTCAAAACCGAGATCGACGCGATCGATACGCGAGTCGACGCAGAGACAGGATCGTGCCGCGACCTCGCGGCTTTGTCGATACGCTGAGAGCGCGCGAACGACACCGGGATTCCTCCGTCGGTTCGTATAATTGATTCAGGCTTTCGTCGAAATGCTTTTAGCTCCCCGATCTGCGCTTCCCGCTCCGAGAGCGCGCGACCCAATAATACCTCCTACTCAGAGATTCACACAGAGATTGATCTTTACGATCGGCCGCCGGGCCCGCCGTAGATTCGCCGCGCGCTTATTTCGGAACGGCTGAATTTAATCCACGTGGCGCGCGTATATATTTCGTGATAGCGAGGAAGCCGGCGAGAGAGGCGCGAGGGATCGTAGGTCATCGCACTCTGACAGCTTATTCACGGACGCGGCGTGTGTGTGCGTGTGAAATAAAATATGTGTGGGAGTCGGAAGAGGAGATGAAGGAGCGCTTTTAAGTTACAATTTGTAAGGTAAGCTTGCCTGTCCGCGAAACGGTCCGGTTACGAAGAGCGATGCTGCGTCGTCTCTCTCTCTCTCTTTGTATGTCGCTGCGATAACTTACGTATATGGTAATAATAAATTACGTAACAATAAAGCAATACAGGATTGAAGCCAATCAATAATATGATAATAAATACGAGAATTTGTGGAGCACCGAAATGATCAGTGCGCACCGTCCGTGGAAGGTGTTGTTGCGACAATATTCGATTGCGTAGTTCCACGCGCGCTTCCCGAGGTAATTAACCGCGAATTTATCCCTGTCACGCGACAACCGTTAATTGCTATTCCGACGGTTCGCCCGCCCTTCCACCAGATAGTCGTAAAAATAGCACGAACGCTCTCGTCCCGCGCATAGCAATGACCATATGTGCAAACGTATCATAAGAAACAATACGCGGCTCAAATCACGCGACACGTCGTTGCGACACGGCGGATCGCCAGTGGGAATATCGATGAGGGACGGTCATGCCCGATAAGTATGGATCTTCAATTATTTTTACCTTAACTGTACTGATCCGAGCCTTAACTTAAACATTCGAATTTTGTTTATGTGTCTTGTGTTTCCAACGTGAAAAAAATCATTTATTTATATCTGATTAACGTAATTCGTAAAAATTTTTTTCTCGTATCGCATCTCTGAATTTTCCTACGTTAGTAAGCTGGGAACGCTAAGGATGCGGAGGCGTACGTGACGATGCGGCGAGAACTCATGGAGTTCGTAGAGTTATGAAGGCGCAACCGTCTTTCCATTCAAATCGCCCCGTCGTAACTATAAATTTCTAAAAAATCCATGTCATCTAAAATTCCCTTCAACTGACCCTCTCTGATCCGGTCTGGCATTTCCTTTCGACATCTTTGAATCTCATTCTTTGAGGGATCTAGTTGAAAGATACGACGAGCGTTCCCCGGGAAAGAGGACTTTTGAATGCGTAAAACCCAAAGAAAACGGGAGAAAATTGCCATGGAGAAGCCAACGTAGCATATAAATGTAACAGAAACGAATCCTTCCTCCCCATTTTTTATCCAATTTGAATTTTCCCCTTCCGTTTATAATCCGTGAAAACGACAATTAAACGTGCGATGTGAAGGTCGGTCCTTAATATTCAGCCGTCGTTAATTGCACCGGACGATATGAAAATCCGGCCCGAGGGAAATGCAATCCGTCAACCCTCGCCGTATCTCGGTCGCAGCGCGTGCATCCGGCAACTCAGTCGCGATTCGATCTTGTGTACTCACGCTTTTGCTGTGGCTCGTGCTGTGATGATGCGCGTGATGCGTGTCGAGTTTCATATTAGCGCAGCGATTGAGGGCGTGCAGGCGCCGGAAGAGGCTCTGCAGCGAGTCGGCCTCGAGGAAAGGGTGGTCCTTAGCCACGCCGGAAACGTCTATCGGAAACTGATAGTCTGAAACGTGAGAATAAGAAAAACTATCGTTAGCTCTAACGGGGCTCGCGTTCGATACACATTCGAGACGGAGCTTGCAATACCTATCCATCTATCGCACGTGCTTATTCATGCAAATGAAAAGTGCATCGCGTTGCACTCGATAACGCGTAAAAACATCCGCCGTTTCGCCGCCCGCCCGCCGCGTTCGTTCGCTCCGTGGCGGAGTATTCAGGATCATTTGATTATCGAATGGACCGAACCGCGCACAAGTGTACGCCGGGAATGCAGCCAACCCGTGTCCACTTAGCCCGCGGGCATTAATCTCCTCGTAAACCCGACGGGCCCATCAAATGTTGACCGCGCCGTCCCCGTCTAGTTTCTTTATTTTTCTTTTTTTTCGCCGGACAATAGCTATCGTTTAAATTCAATTAAGGGGGTTAAAACGCGCGCTTCACTTTTACGTCCCCGTACGCTCGCCCACGATGCCCGATCGGAGCCCACAGCGGTTTCTTTCACGATCATTCCGATCGCGCAAAAAGCGCGATTTCACGAGATTCGTCGGGAAATAAAGAGGAGATTACATCGGGTGACGATTAAACGTGGCGTAAAAACAGCTGGGGGAATACGCGTTGAAAATGCCTCTCGTAATATCATGCATGAATAACTTACCATGCATGAAAACTGTTGAAGGTCATACGGCTTCGTAATATCGCGGGCGAACATCGTGAGCGATGTCGTTAGCGTTGACGGTTGTCAAAAGCCATTCACCGGTTCACGTTTAATAATTTTCGTTACGTACCGTACGATAAAGCAATGCAAGTTTATTTCTGATTATAAACACGCGAGGCTCATTCTGTGCGTAACAAAGCCGCCATAATAACAGACATTCGCGAATCGGATATTCCGCAGGAATTTTGTCTCGTGTTTTCACAATGGCCACGTTCAGCGGAACGTTTAATTCGCAATTGTTGACCAGTTTTCCGAGCTGAGATTGGATTATTCCTTTAGATCTACTAGAATAATTCGATGTTAGCACAGGACACTTCCAACAGTTGCAAAATAAACGTTCTGTTGAGCACGGCTAATCGTTATGAAAAAAAGAACGAGAGAGAGAGAGAGAGAGAGAGAGAGGGAAGGAGGGAGAGAGAAATTCATATGCCCCGAAAATCAAAATTATATTTTCGATGGTCGATTTTTTTTTGTTCGCCCCTCTCTCTCTCTCTCTCTCTGAGCTACCTATAATTTCGTCATAAATATATCGCGGCGCTCGTAAAAGTTCGGGAGGTTTCTGTCACGACTTGCGCAACGCTGGCCTAGATCTCTTAAACCAGATCTCGGATCTATGATCTTTAGCCGGACCCCAGGATCGTCTGCCTCCAAGTGGAGTTATCCTCTAATATAATTGCCGCAAATGTTGGCTGCGCTAAAAATTGACGGCCAACAATTTTCATGCATAGCAAATGTACTACGAGAGAAATTTCCAGCGCGTATTTCCAGCTATTTTCACGTCATATTTAATTACCGGCCGGTGTGATCCCCCCTTTATTTTCCGACGAATTTTGTGAAATCGCATAAAGCGCTTTTGTACGCGAAATGATCATGAAACAACATCCCGAATTGCTGCGGGCTTCGATCGGGTAGCGTAGAGCGAACGTACGGGGACCGTAGACGTAAAAATGAAACGCGCACTTTAACCCTCTTAATTGAATTTAAACGATAGTTATTGTCCGATGGGAAAAAAAAGAAAGAAAATAGACGGAGATTGGCCGCGCGACGAGGACGCACGGTCAACATTTGATGGGCCCGGCGTCGGGTTTACGATGAGATTAATGCTAAAAATCTACAAAAATACATAGGAAAAGTGTTAGATTCAAGTAAACAATTACTCCGGTACTCAGCAAATTTTTATTTCGATTAAGTAAATTTTACTTGGATCAGGTGAATATTTTACTCGGATCTAGTAAATACCACTTGAATCACTCGGATATTACTCAAGGTGATATTTACTTGACCCAAGTAAAAATTCGTCAAGGAGCATGAAAGTAATTATTTACTTGAATCCGGCACTTTTATCCCGCGTACGCTTACGTGTTACAGTCCTAGATACCATTATGCGCTTAATTCGCGCCTAATATGCGCCGGTTCATCCATCAGGCGGGACACGTGGGACGACGGGAGACCGTTGTCGCGAAGATTCTTTACGCAGATTGAGATCTCCCACGGACGCGAGGCGGCTAATTAAAACAAATACCACCGATCACGCGGACTATGAGCGTCGCGTACAACAGCCACGATTCGTTTTCACTTATTAAAGCATGCGTAAAGGTAATTAATGAGCGCGAGCGTCCACCGATGTTACCTGATAGCGGATAAATTGGCCAGTTATCGGTTTTATGTACCGACGTTATACACTGCCTCTTCTTCCAGACGCATAAACGGTGCGCGCGTACGCGCCGTTAATACTTCCTGGCGCTACGAAACTACGGAGTTTTTTGCGTCACCGTGCCGTCGAGTACGGTAAACCGCCGGAGTACCATGTTCAGCGCGAAACAGCTATTAAGCGGCGTGGCAATTTTCATTCCAGATTTATATTATCGTCCGCCGCACGCACGACTCGCGCGACTCGGTGTTACAGCTTTCGTCGTGTCCGAAAGGCGCTGTTGGGAAATTTACCCCCTTCTACAAAATGTGCGTGTTATCAAATATCCCGAACGAAACGCAGAGACCTCTTTCCCTTTGTACGATGTGTCCGATTGTTAGTTTTATTATCCGATGAAGTTACCGATGAAGCTGCCGATGAAACCCAATCGGAAAATTAGTCTTTCGTATATCCGTTGTAATTTTCATCGTACAAAGGCACGACTCGATCGGATGTTTGTTATTTTTTGATTATCCGATCAGATATTTTTCCCGGTATTGTGCGTGGCGAGGATTCTCGCGACAAAGTGTATACGCTTGCGTAAACGTTATTCGACGAAGAGCGCGATCTGATTCATCGCGCGCGCATTTCGTATGTCTCAGAGCGTGTGTTTCGCTAAATGCGCGCTCAATTCCGCTCGCATCAATCCTCGGGGAATCAATACGCTCGGTGTGTGAGCTCTCGCGCGCGCTCCGCTTTTACGACCGCTACGGATAGATCAACGTTAACAACCGGCGATTAGAGAGCTTCCTGGATACATTATTACTAAACGTCTTACTGGGAAATCCCATGGCGCGCGCGGCGTCGCGCTCGGCGCTGACAAATCAATTGGCGCGCGGCTGCCTTTCGATTTCACTCATCTGCATAACGAAGTCGTCGATAAATATCGATCCGACCGCTGAAGAAAGAACACGCGTTCGTGCGCGCTGATAAATGCCGCATCTCGCTGGATTAACCGTTCCGCTTTTGTCGAAGAGAGCGCATCCACTCTCCCCCTTCGATTTTTCGCTAAACGGCCGCGCCTTTCTCTCTACCGTCGTCGGAACGAAAATAAATCGATTTCACGGACACGGGATTGGAATATTCGCGGGCCGTTGTATCGGAGCGAGACACAAAAATTCACTCGGCCGGGACGACTTGATAAATCTATCCGGCGGCGCGGTGTGATCGATCGGATCACGTCCTTAATTTATCACGCCGATCGTCAGACACGACACCCACATTCGCGCCGTCGGAATTCCACGAAGGATGCGCGCGGCCGACCTGGATATCCTCCCCGTGGCCGGGGCGCGCGACGACCCCGCGATAAAATCCCGCCCGCGATGCGGCCGCACGTGTGTATGTGTGCGTGCGTGCACGCGAGTCGCGTGGTTCTCGTACGTATTCGACGGCCGGTATCGGTATCGTATTTATATCGTGCCTTGCGCCAACCGACTCGGGTTCAACTGGGTCAATTAGCTACTATTCATAGTGTGCTTCGATCGCGAGAGCTCGCCTGAGTTATGATCAATCGTGCACTTTATACGTGGTTATACGCCGACACACGCGTGCACGCATGCATTCGTACTTGTGCGCGCGTGCGCATTTATCGTGCGCGTACGAGGGTGTCTTCGCATGCCGACGCACGTGTACGTTTGCACGCGCGCGTGCATAAACTCGTGCATGCGCCGGATTTATCGATAAATTCAAGCTGTTAATGTGATTCGAGATACACTGTGTGTGTGTGTGTGTGTGTAAAAGAACGACGTCTTGAAGAGAGGGATGGCCGTTTGCATTAAAGTAAGCTTCACGCCAAAAATAATGGTACGTCAGATTCACGTACGTTGCGAACGTACTTAGGAAAATAACTTACAAGACAATCCCAAATAACAATCAGGGTGAGAGATTTGATCTACATTCACCTTCGATTTTCTACAAGTGTGACGAATATTAATTGCACATTCGCTACACGGGAAATATCGTAGTAAAAATTACCACGGCGTGACGTAAGATTTTGTAACGCCAAACGATACCGGACTAAAATGATGGCGTATGCTGTAATCTCTAATGATGATGCATACCACGTGTACACATCGATGAAAATTACAACATCGGAAGTCCGTGGTTCCTTCTCCCCGCATTTGGCATCTGGGTCGTTGCGTTTCTCAGGACATGTTCGCAGGCTGCGCCGGTGGACCGAGCGGCTCGCGAATTAAATTAAACTTTTATGAGACCGACGCTCTCGCGTGTGCGCGCTCTCCCACGCGAGCGCGCAAAAAGTGAAAGTCCAAGCCGTCTCGCGTAAGTCACCTCCTCCTAGTATCCTAATTGCCCGCGTCGGCATTATATAATTATCGATAGCACCGCGCTGTTAGCGTTAGATAATTGGAGTGAATGTTGATATAACGCGCGGCAGGAATATATCGAACGGCCGATCGTCCTTAACCCTTAATAATCGAGCCGGCGTGAACGCGCCAAGTCACGTAAGTTGCGCCTTTTTGCCCCACGCGCGATTTTTCTCAGGTCGGAAAGCTCGAATTATGACGCATTAACACGTTCGCTACCGGTCGTGTATATTTACTCTCGCGGTGACACGCTCGGATCTTACGACAGACCGGCG